GAGGTGATGAGAAGTGGCCAGATGCTGGATGTATTTTGAAGATGGAGCTGACAGTATTTGCTAATGAAGTGGATTTCTTTTTAAACATATCTCTTCCTCAGATAGTAGTGAGATAGTATAGGCTGTGAAGCCAGGCTGTGTGGATTCAAATGCTGCTTTACCACCTACTAACCATGTGACCGTTAGGCATATTACTTAATTTTTTCTGTGTCTGTTTCTTCACTGATAAAACAGGGAGAATAAAATAACAATTTCATGAAGTTCACATAAGGATTAAATGAGTTAATATTTGTAATAGCAAAAAAACTCAATGAAACCAAGAGCTGGTTCTGTGAGAAGATAAGCAAAATAGACAAACCCCTAGTTGGACCTACCAAGAAAAGACAGAGGACACAAACAAAATCAGAAATGAAAAAGAAACAGTCACAACTGACACCACAGAAATACAAAGTTATTAGAGAATTCTATGAAAAATTATATGCCAGTAAATTGGACAATCTAGAAGAAAAGGACAAATTCCTAGAAAAGTACAACCTTCCAAGACTGACCCAGGAAGAAGCAGAAAATCTGAACAGACTAATTATCAGCAATGACATCAAACTGGTAATCAAAAAACTTCCAACAAACAAACATCCAGGACTTATGGCTTTACAGCTGAATTCTACCAAACATTTAAAGAAAAGCTAATACCCATCCTTCTTAAAATTATTCCAAAAAAGAGAAAAGGAGGGAGTACTTCCAAACTCATTATATGAGGCCAGCATCACTCTAATACCAAAACCAGAGAAAGACACTACAAAAAAAGAAAATTACATACCAATATCCCTGATGAACACAGATGCGGAAATACTCAACAAAATATTAGCAAACCAAATTAAAAAATGCATCAAAGGATCACTCATGACCAAGAGGAATTTATTCCAGGGATGCAAGGATGGTACACTATTCATAAATCAAATCAATGTGATACACTATATTAACAAAAGGAAGGTTAAAAACCACATATCATCATCAGGGAAATGCAAATTAAAACCACAATGAGATATCACTCACACCAGTTAGGATGGCCAACATCCAACAAACAAGAAACAAATATTGGCGAGGATGCAGAGAAAGAGGAACCCTCCTACATTGTTGATGAGAACAAAAAATGGTTCAGCCATTGTGGAAAGCAATATGGAGCTTCATCAAAAAACTAAAAATAGCAATACCATTTGACCCATGAATTCCACTCCTATGAATTTACCCAAAGAAAACAAGATCCCTTATTCAAAAAAACATATGTGCCCCTATGTTTATCACTGCACTATTTACAATAGCCAAGATATGGAAGCAACCTAAGTGTCCATCAATAGATGAATGGATACAGATGTGGTACATATACACAATGGAATATTATTCAGCCATAAAAAGAAAAGAAATCCTACCATTAGCAACAACATGGATGGAGCTAGAGGGTATTACGCTCAGTGAAATAAGCCAGGCGGAGAAAGACAAGTACCAAACGACTTCACTCATTTGTGGAGTATAACAACAAAGCAAAAGAGAAGGAACAAAACAGCAGCAGACTCACAGACACTGAGAGGGGACTAATGGTTACCAACGGGAAAGGGTTACCAAAGGGGAGGGTAGGCAGGGAGGAAGAAAGGGATTAAGGGGCACCACAGTTCACAATCACAATACAGTAGGTCACACGGAAGGTAGTAGAGCAGAAGACAAGTAATGACTCTGTAGCATCTTACTACGCTGATACACAATAACTGCAATGGGGCAGTGAGGACTTGATAATATGAATGAATGTTGAAAGCACAATGTTGTTAGTGTGAAACCTTCATAAAATTGTATATCAATGATACTGTAATAAAATAATTAATTTAAAAAACCCACATGATCATTTTAATAAATGCTGAAACAGCATGTGACAAAATTCAACGTCCATAAAATGGGTACAGATAGAGTGTACCTCAACATGATAAAGGCCATATACAGCAAACCCACAGCTAACATTATACTCAATGGTGAAAATCTGATAGCTTTTCCTCTAAGATCATGAACAAAGCAAGCATGTCCACTCTCACCACTTTTATTCAGCACAGTACTGGAGGTCCTAGCCACAGCAATCAGGCAAGAAAAAGAGATAAAAGGCATCCAACTTGGTAAGGAAGAAGTAAAACTGTCACTGTTTATAGATGACATGATACCAATATCCCTGGTACCAATATATAGAAAATCCTAAAGACTCCACCAAAAAACTGTTAGAAATAGCTGCATTCAGCAAAGTTTCAGGATATAAAATCAATACACAGAAATCTGTTGCACTCCTGTATACTAACAATGACCTAGCAGAAAGAGAAATCAGGAAAACAATTTCATTTACAACTCCATCAAAAATAATAAAATCCCTAGGAATAAACCTAACCAAGGAGGGGAAAGATCTATACTCTGAAAACTGTAAGATACTTAAGAGAGAAATTATAGACACAAATGAATGGAAATCTATCCCATACTCTTGGAAAAGAATATTGTTTCCTGCTGAAAGCAATTTACAGATTCAATGAAATCCCTATCAAAATATCAACATCATTTTTCAATGAACTAGAACAAATAGTATAAAATTAATATGGAACCACAAAAGACCCCAAGTAGCCAAAGCCATCCTGAGAAAGAAGAAAAAGAAGACTTCAAGCTATACCACAAAACAACAGTAATTAAAACAGTATGGTACCAATGTATCAATGGAACAGAACAGGGAGCCCAGATATAAATCCATGCATATATGGTCAATTAATATATGATAAAGGAGCCATGAATATGCAATAAGGAAAAGACAGTCCCTTCAATAACTAGTGTTGGGAAAACTGGACAGCTACATGTAAGAGAATGAAACTGAATACTATCTATCTCCATATAAAAAGTATATTTGAAATGGATCAAAAATCTAAATGTAAGACATGAAACCATAAAACTCTTGGAAGAAAACATAGGCAAAAATCTCTTGAACATAAGAATGAGCAATTTTTTTCTGGACACAGCTCCCTGGGCAAGGGAAACAAAAAGTGAACAAGTGGGACTACATCAAACTAAAAAGCTTCTGTACAGCCAAGGACACCATCAGCAGAACAAAAAGGCAACCTACAGTATGGGAGAATATATTTGTAAACAATTTCTCCAATACATGTTAACATCCAAAATATATAAAGAAGTCATTCAACTCAATACCAAAAGAATAAATAACCCAATTAAAAAAATGGGCAGAGGAACTGAACAGACTTTTTTCCAAAGAACAAATACAGACGGCCAACAGGCACATGAAAAGATGCTCCACATCACTAATCAGGGAAATGTAAATCAAAACTACACCAGTTAGTATTGCCACTATCCAAGAGACAAAAAATAACAAGTGTTGATGAGGACGTAGAGAAAAGGGAACCTTCCTACACTGTAGGTGGGAATGTAAATTGGTGCAGCCACTGTGGAAAGCAGTATGGAGTTTTCTCAGAAAACTAAAAATAGAAATATCATATGACCCAGTAATTCCACTTCTAGGAATTTATCCAAAGAAAACAAAATCCTCATTCAAAAAGATATATGCACCCCTATGTTTACTGCCACCTTATTTATCCAAAATATGGGAGCAACCAAAATGTCTATCAATAGATGGATGAATGGACAAAGAAGAGGTGGTACATATACACAATGGAATATTATTCAGCTATAAAAAAGAAAGAAATCCTGCCATTTGCAACAACATGGATGGGTCCAGACAGCATTATGCTAAATGAAAGAAGCCAGGCAGAAAATGACAAATACCATATGATTTCACTTATTTGTGGAATCTAAAAACAAAACAAAACAAAATGAACAAAATAGCAGTAGACTCATAGACACTGAGAAGGGAATGGTGGTTACCATGGGGGAGGGGTTGAGGTGGGGCGGGGAGGGAGACGGGTATAAAGGGGCACAAAAACTCTCAATCATCATATAAGCTGGCCACAGGGATGGGAGTACAGCATGGACAATATAGCCAATGGTTCTGTAACATCTTCTTATATTAACGGTAACCACACTAATTGGGGTGAGGATTTAATAATGTGGCTAACTGTTGAACCACTATGGGTATACTTGAAACCAATATAAGATTGTATATCGACTACAGTTCAATTAAAAAAAAAATAGAAAGCACTTAGAATAGTGCCTGATATATAGTAAGGGCAGCACAAGTGTTTATAAGACAAATAAGCATGTGTCAATCCCTAGTTGAGGTCAGACTCTAGATTATGAAAAAACTAAAAACAGAAATATCATATGACCCAGTAATTCCACTTCTAGGAATTTACCCAAAGAAAACAAAATCCTCATTCAAAAAGATACATGCACCCCTATGCGCATCTAGATTATGAGCTATGAACTTTTCCTTCAGCACTTTCATAGCTTGTAGATACATATTTACATGTTTCATTTAACAAATGAACGTCTCCCTCACTAGATTGAGAGCGTCTTAAGGGAAGAAACTGACGGTTTGTTCACTCTTCTATCCCTGGTAACAACAATAATTGCCTGGTTCATGGTCACACTCATGAAGTACTTACTGATTCAATGAAGGATGACCTGATCACATTTCATCATAATTATCTTTTTACACTTTTTTTTTCACTACTCCAGCAGTGTAAAAACTTTTCCTTTATCTTATTTCCTGTATCTAGCACAGTTTTAAACACAAAGTAGTGCTCAATAAATGTTTGTTGAACCAAAGCAGGAACTCTATAAAACATTTTCTGTAATCATTGTACTAAGTTTATGATGCTACCAATCTGAAGGGCTGTTTGGCAAAAAAGGACAGCTGGTGCAGACAAACAGAAAAAACCTGGGTGTGTCCAAGATTCTTCTCCCAAAATGTTTGAAATAAACTTATTTAATATATGTACAACAATAGCTATGAAACTCTAGTTGTGACTGTGGAAATACTGATCATAAAAGGTGAGCACCCAACTGATATATACCTTCAAACTGCAAGTCATCTACAGTTGCCATTCAGCCAGAGGGTCTTCTCCCAATTCTAAGTGAGAAACTTTGCAGAGGTCTAAAAAGGAAAAACAAACAAACTTCATAGGATCCCCAAATATCTGCAAACAGGTCTTACTGCAGTGTTACAAATGGTATTGATTTCCCTCGCCTCCTTTTTTATTGGAGTTGGCAAGTTTATATAAAAATAACCCTTTAGTATCAGATATTAAATCAGTTGTAAAGAGACTTAAGGTTGGGGGAGTGAAGGAGGTTGGGGGAAGGTGTCCAAAGGTTCCATCCACTTGCACTCACAGACCAGGTGCAGCCTGGAGATGGAAGGGTGAGAAAGAGGAGGCTGGGGTTTGAGAGAGGTGGCTATGAAGCCAGTGAAGGGCATGGGCAGTTCAGCCTAGCCCGCGTGGTTAAGGGCATATAGGCTCTGGCGTCAGACAGACCTGGGTATGATTCCTGATTCTGCTGCTTCTCTGTAGGCTGTGTGGACTGTAGGCTTCCTCGGGGCCTCAGCTTCCTCATCTGTAGAATGGGTTCACAATTGTACCTACTCACACGGTGTCAGAGGCCGTTCAATGAGACAGTGCGTGGAAGGTGGTCAGTGCACAGCCAAGCAGTTAGTAGGCGGAGGAGTGGCGGCGACCCTGCACTGGCGCACCACGAGCCCGGGCTAGTCTGGGGAAAGAGCTGCCCAAGGTACAGAGGCAGCGCTTTAGGGGCAGGAGCTGGGCCGCAGTAGCCCGGGCGGGCAGGAAATTGCAGGCCCCTCTGCCCGGGGTCGGACCCACAGACCCAGCCACCTCACCTCTGGGTAACAGGCCTCCAGCCAGTCCCGGTAAGGCTCGAGCTCCTGATACTACGCGCAGGTTCCGGTCCCGCCTAGCAGCCGGAAGCTGGAGATCCGGGAGGCGGAACCTCTCCACCTCCTCTGAGCAGGTCCCCGCCTCCTTAAAGAGACAGCAGCACTTGGGGCGGGGGTTGGGGGGCGAAGCTCAGGAGACCTCAGCAGGCCGCCGCCCCTGCGGAGCGGGAGGCTTGGCTTCTTAAAGAGACCGACGCAGCTCCGCGGAGGAGGGGTGCTCTGCTCGCCTGTCTCCGCAGGGTCGGAGAACTCTCGAGCGTGAGGTTTTCCTTCTGTTGGTTTATACCTCTTTTCCTATTGAGATATGGAACAGTAACGAAGGACGATTGTCAAAACAAAAATGCCATGAATCCCTCGCAAGTCTTTTTTGGCCGTAAAGATTTAATTAGCCAGAGAGGGAGGGAAGGAGTCAAGTGTTAGTTCTGAGTTTGTGATTGACTGAGGGCAGGATGACGCCTGTCCGGGACACTCGAGTAAGTGATAATTTGTTCCTTCACTAGGTTTGCCTTTAGCGCAGTAACTCTCATCGTTTGCGCTTCTTTGCCAACCTGTGAATGCCTCGAGGACAAGATCGAAATGATTCTGGTCTGTGGGTCCCAGTGTCCAGCCCAGGGTGAGGCACACAATAGTTGCTCACTGAAGGTTTACAGTAGTGAACAAGTTCTGGCTGGCTGAGCACCTAAAGGCAAATTCTGGGCTCACACGAGCTGGAATATGCGACGCTGGCCTCTCCACACTGGGCCCTTGTGGTCAATTGGAAAGACTTCATATCTACTACTAATAATAATTTTTGATAGATTGTTGTTAAATCACCCTTGAATACTGTGGTTTTCATTTGGTATTATTTTGTTGAGAATTCTGGGAAATTTTGAATTTATGTTTTGTAAGTGAAATGGACCTATGCTTTAATTGTACAGCTTTCAAATTAAGAGTAAGGAGATAAACAGGCACAAAATCTCAAGTATAATATAAATTAGTCACAGGGATGAAAGTACAGCATAAAGGATAAAAAAATTATATAGCTTCCTAAAAGTCATTCCTTCTTTTTCTGTTTTCTGGAATCTTGTACAAGGCAGGTATTACCAATCCCTTGAAAGATTGGTTAAACTCTTCAGTAAAGTCATGTAAGGCTAGGACTCTTGTGGGGAAGAAGTCTGATTAAGAGTTTCAGTTTTTAAACGGGCATTGGTCTTTTCACATTTCTGTTTCTTTTTACACCAATTGCAGTAATGTTTTTTATATTTTTCAGAAATTTATCACGTCATCAAATTTTTCAGTTACTGACACGCTCAAATGTCATTTTATTTTTTAAATCTGTTGTGTTTGTTCTCACTAGTGTTTGAGATTTTTTTCTGGATCAGATACTGTTAGAATTTTGTCTATCTTACTAATCTTTTCAAGGAACAAGTTTTTGGGTCTTTTTTTTCCCTTCTTGCTCTCCATTCACCACCCCCACCCCTCATTCATTCATTCCTTTCCTTATCTTCATTATTTCCTCTTGTGGCGAGAACAGAGGGGAATTTAATTCCTTTATTGTCCTCCTAGTTACTCATTTGAATGTTTAGTTCATTTATTTGTTCTTTCTTGTTTTATAAAAAAAAGTATTTAAAGATATGTTTTATTCTTAGTATTGCTTTAGCTATGACCCATATTGTGCTTTCATTGTTACTCAATTCTAAACATTTTGTAATTTTCCATGTGGTTTCTTCTTCAATCCAAGGCTTATTTCAAAGCATGTTTTATAGTTTCAAGGCATAGAGATTTCTAAGCTATCATTTTGTTACTCAGTTCCAATTTAATGATGATGTAAAATTCAGTAGTTATTAGTACATTCTACTACTTTTATTAATTCTAATAGTGGCATTGTATTTTTTAAGACTTTTTTTTTAGAGAAGTTTTAGGTTCCCAGAAAAACTGAAAAGGTATAGAGATTTCCCATATACCCCTGCCCCTAGACATGCATAGCCTCCCCATTATCAACATACCCCACCAGAATGTTTCATTTGTTACAGCTGATAAACCTGCAGGCCTTTGCTTACATTAGGTGTTCTCATGATGTATATTCTGTGGGTTTGGACAAATATATAATGACACGTATCAAGCATTATAGTGTTATACAGAGTATTTTCAATGCCTCCAAATTTTTCTGTGTTCCTCCTATTCATCGCTTCCTGCCATCCCCTGGCAAGCACTGATATTTTCACTGTCTTCATAGTGTTGCTTTTTCCAGAAAGTCATATGAATCATACAATATGTAGCCTTCTTAGACTGGCTTCTTTCACTTAGTAATATGCCTTTAAGTTTCCTCTGTGGCTTATAGTTCATTTCTTTTAAGCACTCATATTCCATTGTCTGGATGTACCACAATTTATCTGTTCACCTACTGAAGAATATCTTGGTATCTTGGTTGCATCCAAAATGTGTTATACACATGCCATGGGTATAATTCAGCCTTAAGAAGGAAGGAAATTCTGCAATATGCTACAATAGGATGAATCTGGACATAACGCTAAGTGAAATAAGCCAGTCACAAAAATCAAATACTTTGATTCCACTTATATGAGGTACTGAGAGTACTCAAACTCATAAAGAAGATATATAGGAAAAAATCATAAAGAAAATGGTGGTTGCCAGTTGCTGGGGGGAGGCAGGAGTCAGGACTTACTGTTTAATAGGTATAGTTTCAGTTTTACAAGATGAAAAGAGTTATAGGAATGGATAGTTGTGATGGTTGTACAATGTGAATATTCTTAATGCCACTGAATTGTACACTTGTAAATGGCTACAGTCATAAATTTTGTTGCATGTATTTTACTACAATAAAAAAAAGTTTCAAAGTAATAGTAGCAGTGGTTATAAATATGGATCATACAGTTCTAATAACTATTTGAATAACAATTCCATTTCAAAAAAAATAAAGGAATGGAGAAAGATCACTATGCTAATTAAAAGAAAGCTGGGATGGCTATATTAATTTCAGACAGAGAAAACTTCAAAGCAAGGAAAACTGTCAGGGATAAAGAGGGCATTATATAATGATAAAGGGGTCAATTCTCCAAGAAGACATAATAATCTTTAATGTGTATGTGTCTAACAACAGGGCATCAAAATACATGAGACAAAAACTGATAGAACTGAAAGGAGAAAAAGATAAGTCCACTAGTATAGTTGGAGACTTTAACATCCCTGTATCAGGAATGAACAAATCTAGCAGGAAGAAAGTCAATAAGGACATACTAGAACTCAATGGCACCACTGGTCAACTGGATATAAATGACATCTAAAGGTCATCCAGCAGCAGCGGAATACACATTCTTCTTAAGCTTATAGAATATTCACCAAGATAGAACACATTCTGGGCCATAAAACATACTCTAACAAATTTAAAAATAGAAATTATACTATGTATACTCTCAGGCTACAATGGAATCAACTAGAAATCTGTAACAGAAAAATACCTGGAAAGTCCCAAAATACTTGTAGACTAAACAAACACTTCTAAATAACACAGGTCCAAATAAAGAATCCCAGGAGAAATCAAGAAGTTTTTTGAACTAAATGAAAATACCACTTAGCACAATTTGTGAGATGCAGCAGACGTGTTAACTGACAGGGAAGTTAATAGCACTGAATGCATATATTAGAAAAAAATATCTAAATCAATAATTTAAGCTTCCACCTTAGGGAACTAGAAGGAGAAGAGAAGATTAAATCTAAAATAAGCAGAAAAAAATAAGTAATAAAAATTAGAGCAGATATCAATGGAATTGAAAACAGAAAATCAATAGAGAAAAATCAGTGAAACCAAAAGCTGATTCTTTGAGAAGACCAAGAAAACCAATAAACAAATAAACCTCTAGTCTACCTGAGAAAAAAAGAGAGAAGACAACATTTCTAGTATCAGAAATGAAAGCAGGGACATCACTACAGATGCCATGGTTATTAAAAGGAGGATAATAATGGGATACGATAAATAACTCTATGCCCACAAGTGTGATAACCTAGAGGAAATGGATCAATTCTTTGAAAGACACAATCTGTGAAAACTCACAGGAGAAGAAATAAACAATCTGAATAGGCCTATATCTATTAAATAAATTGAATCAATAATTAATAACCTTCCAAAACAGAAAAGGCCTAGATGGGTTCATTGGTGAATTCTACCAAATATTAAAGGAAGAAATTATACCAATTCTCTACATTCTCACCCAGAAATTAGAAGTTGAGGGAATACTTTCTAATTCATTCTATAAAGCCAACATTACCCTAATACCAAATGAGACAAAGGCATTACAAGAAAATTACAGACCAATATCTCTCATGAATATGGATGTAAAAATCTTCAACATAATATTAGCAAATTGAAAATTCAAAAAGATATATGTACCCCTAGATAGAAAATTAAATCCAAAAATAGAAATTATACTATATATACTCTCAGGTCACAATGGAATCAACTAGAAATCAATAACAGAAAAATACCTGTGAAGTCCTGGTATTTTTTTACCAAAGAACTAAAAAAAATAATCATACACCATGGCCAAGTGGGATTTATTCCAGATGTATAATGCTGGTTCAACATTCAAAAATCAATTAATGTAACCCATTTAATCTACAAACTAAAGAAGAAAAATCACATGATCATATTAATACAAGCAGAAAAAGCATTTGACAAAATCTAACACTCATTGATGATAAAAATACTTAGCAAACTAGGAAGAGAGGGGGAACTTCCTCAACTTGATAAAGAATATCTACAAAAAACCACAACATCATACTTAATGGTGAGAAACTAGAAGCTCTTGGGCTAAGTCAAGAACAAAGCAAGGATATCCCCTGTTGGCTCACAAACTGGTCCCCTTACACAGCAGGCAAGGAGAGACCAAAGAAAGGGGTAGGCCACTCTAAATCAGAAGGTGGCAGTTTTAATAAGCAAGAAAACTTATTTATGAGTAGCCCTAAGGCAAGTAAATCTCTCCACCTATCTGCCAGAATCTTAAAAGTTTATAGAGTCCTTAACTGGGTTCAATCACATATACTTGTTCAAATGGTCTCAATACCACATTACTATCTTAAGGCTAAATACTTGGGCAGCTTCTAGAATGGGAAGACAAGTGGAACACACATTCCAAGGACAGGGGAAGGGGTGAGGAGTCTCTGATTGCCTGGGTACAGCTTGTGGGTCAACCAGCAGTCACATCTTCTCAGTGATTTCCTCCAAGTTCTCTCACCACTCTTTCAACATCATACTGGAAGTCTTAGCTAATGCAATGAGACAAGAAAAGGTACACCGATTGGGAAGGAAGAAATAAAACTGTCTCTGTTCATAGCTTACATGATTGTTTATGTAGAAAATCTGAATAAAACAACCAAAAAAAACTCCTGGAACCAATAAGTGATTATAGCAAAGTTCTAGGATACAAGGTTAATACACAAAAGTCAATTCCTTTTCTATATACCAACAATGAAAAATTAGAATCTGAAATTAAAATCATAAGACCATTTATATTAGCAGCCTAAAATACTTACCTAAGAAATACTTAGGTAAAAATCTAACAAATATGTACAAGATTTATATAAGGAAAACTACAAAACTCTGATGAAAGCAATCAAAGAACTAAATAAAAGGAGAGATATTCCATGTTCATGAATAGGAAGACTCAATGTTGCCAAGATGTCAGTTCTTCTAACACAATCTATAAATTCAACACAATCCCAATCTACATCCAAGCAAGTTATTTTGTAGATATTGACAAACTGATTCAAAGTTTGCATGGAAAGGTAAAAGACCCAGAATAGCTACATCAATATTAAAGGAGAATGACAAAGTTGGAGGACTGACTATTCAACTTCAAGACTTGTTACAGACATAAAGTAAGATAGTATAATCTAAACTATATTTCAATAAAAATGATTTTTAAAAAACAGTATGATGTCAGCAAAAGAATAGAAAAATAGCTCAATAGAAAAAAAGAGAGAGCCCAGAAATAGTTAATTGATCTTTTATTTTTTTTATTTTGGTATCACTAATGTACAATTACATGAGCAACATTATGGTTACCAGACTCCCCCCATTATCAAGCCCCCACCACATACCCCATTACAGTCACTGTCCATCAGAGTAGTAAGACACTATAGAATCACTAAGTTAATTGATCTTTGACAAAAGAATAAAAGCAGTACAAAGAAGAAAAGACAGTCTCTTCAATAAACGGTGTTGGAACAACTCGACATAGCATGCAAAAAAAATGAACCCAGGCATAGACCTTATACCTTTAGAAAAAATTAACTCAAAATGGATCTTAGACCCACATGTAAAACACAAACCTATAAAACTTGCAGAAAAAGTATGAGAAAAACTAGATGACCTTGAGTTTGGTGATGACTTTTTAGATACAACACCAAAGACACAATTCATGAAAAAAAGAATCAATAAGTTGGACTTCATTAAAATTAAAAACTGCTCTGCAAAAGACACTGTCAAGAGGCTGAGAAACAAGCTACAGACTGGGAGAAAGTATCTGCAAAAGACACAGCTGACTGCTATCTAAAATAAAGAACTCTTAAAACTCAATAAAATAACAAACAATCTGATTTTAAAATGAGCAAAATTTTGGAACAGACACTTCATACATGGAGTGTCTGTATGTGTCTTCATATATATAAAGACATACATGGAGACAAATAAGTATATAAAAAGTTGTTCAGTATCATATGTCATTAGGGAATTATAAATTCAAACGACAATGAGATACCAAACCACACCTATTAGAATGGCCAATATGCAAAACACAGACAACACCATATGCTGGTGAGGATATGGAGCAATGGGAACTCTCTCGCTCACTGATGGAAATACAAAACGGTGCATCTGCTTTAGAAGACGGTTTGGCAATTTCTCAAAAATAACTATTTTCTTACCCTAAGATCCTGCAACTGCACTCCTTGGTATTTACCCAAATGTGTTGAAAACTTCTGTTCACACAAAAACCGGCACACAGACGTTTGTGGCAGATGTCTGTCTTAGTCCATAAGGGCTGCTCTAACAGAGTACCATAGGCTTGATGGATTATAAACAACAGAAATTTTTTTCTCATGTTTTGAAGTCTGGGAAGTCCAAAATAAAGGTGCCAGCAGATCTGGTGACTAGTGAGGGACCAGCCATCTTGCGGTCCTCACACAAAGAAGGGACAACAGAGCTCTCTGGGGTCTCTCTTATAAGGGCACTAATCTCATTCATTAGGACTCCACACTAATTACCTAAGCACCTCACAAAGACCCCACCTCCAAACACCATCACATTGGGGATAGGTTTCAATATATGTATGTATGTTTGTGGTTGGGGGAGCACAAACATTCGGCCTGTGGCAGCAGCTTTATTCATAATTGCCAAAACATGGAAACAACCAAGATATCATTCAGTAGGTAGACAAATAAAGCATTATATATCCACACAGTGGAATATTATTCAATGCTAAAAAGAAATGAGCTATCAAGTCATGAAGAAATATGGGTGTTTCTTAAATGTATATTACTAAGTGAAAGAAGACAAAATGAAAAGGCTACATACCATATGGTTCCAACTATATGACATTCTACAAAAGGTAAAACTATGGAGACCCTCAAAAGATTGATGGTTGCCAAGGGTGGGGGGAGATGAAAGGATGAAATGGAGGAGGACACAGGTTTTTAGGGCAGAAAACTATTCTTTATGATATTGTAATGGTGGATACATACATCACAGATTTGTCAAAACCCATAGATTTCACAACATCAAGAATGAACTCTAATGTAAGCTAAGGACTTCGGGTGATACTGACTTGTTAATGTAGGTTTATTGATTATAACAAATGCACCACTTTGGTAGAATATGGATAATGGAAGAGGCTGTGCATTTGTGGGGGTAACTGTCTTTACTCTCTGCTTAATTTTCCTGTGACCATAAAACTGCTAAAAAAATATAGTCTATTTAAAACAAACAAACAACAAGAAACAAAATAATACCAAGAATATAGGATGGCTTTGTATATAGCAAAATGCTGCATACACATGCAGGGTTATTACTGCTTGAAGAGACAGGGACTGTGCCTTGTGAGCATAGCACGTGGCATTTGCAGTGAGTTGCTCAGAAACTGAACATCTTTTGGAGCTGTTTTTTCCTTTTCTAAATGAAGTTAGTGTGCTAGAGGCCAAGGCTGACACCTCTTCCGATGTGGCAGCCAGCTTTCACATGATCCTTCCCACTGCCCTGACGCACAGGTATGTAAATGCCTCAGAGAGGGGTAGACTTAAGGCTTAGTGAGTTACCTCCTTAGAGACTAGCTGACTGCAGAAAGGGCCTCAGTCAAGCCACTTCCCCTTTCTGGGCCTCAGTTTCCCTTCTTAAAAAAGCAGGTGGTTTTAGATGATTTTAAAAATACTTTGCACCTCTGAGCTGCTATGATTCTTCTTTCATTTTCTCCAGTGATCCATGCTCTCTCTGGCTTCTAGGCCTTTGGACCTGTGGCTCTGTCTACCAGGACTGCTGACTCCACTTGCCTGGTTACTGCTTGCTGTTCTTTCTTTCTGTTTACAGCATAGACATCACTTCCTTGGGGAAGTCCTCTTGACCTCTCCACACAGAATTAGCTCCCCCTTCTCCATGCTCCCATAGCCCCCTCTCTGTCTCTGTACTTAAAACACTAAGTGATAATTTTCTGTTCACTTGTTTCTTCCTTGCTCTGGACTACCACCCTGCTGAGAGCAGAGAGAGTATTTTATTTGTCACTCTAACCCCAGTGCTAAGGGGAGTCGCAGGCCCAGATGCCCTTGGGGATGGCCCCAGGTCTGTCTCTGCCTGGGGAGCTTCCAGACCCAAGTCCTCTGGGGAGGACTATGCCTTCAGAAACACACAACTACCAGCTAGATGCTGTGAGTGGGAAAAAGATCTTTCATTGGAAAAATAATAATTTATATTATTAAAAGAATCATTCATGATAGAACTTACTTGTAAGAGAACCTTTCTAAAGGACCACAGAGTACCTTTAAGTGTGATCTTTTTAAGTGTCTTCAAAAATTTATCAGAGGGAGAATTTAAAATCTGCAGTCTCCCAGTCCAGAAATCTCTCAACGGTCAAGACAAAGAATGAAAATAATTAGAACAGACCTTTGGGCACCTGATTTGGAATTTTCCATTCCATTGACAGGAGGAAGGCAAATACCTTCTGTCAGGGTTCCTTCCTCCCTCCTGGGTTGGCTACTCCCACCCTGCACCTTTGCTCAGCTCCGCCCAGCGTCACCCAGCTGAGGCCTCTCTGCCCATCGGCCTCAGAGCCAGCTCTGGTTGTGCTGAGATGGGGCTGCCCCGGCCAGCGCTGGGGCTGAAGAGGCTCTGGATACTCTTGCAGGTGGCCTTGCATGTGGCCGTGGGCAAAGTGCTACTGGTACTGTGTCCCGGCAGAGTCAAGCAGCACATCCTGGCCATGAACAAGAACAACCCCCACTTCTCCTATGACAACTGGGCCCCAACTCTCTACAGCATCCAGTACTTCTGGTTCCTTCTGAAGGTCCGTTGGCAGAGACTGGAGGACAAGACTGAGCAAGGGGGTCTGGCCCCAAACTGCCCTGTGGTCCACCTCTCAGGACGTTGGTGCAACATTTGGGACTTCATGCAAGGTCAGCAGGCTCACACATGCTTGGGATGTGCCTGGAATGGAGGTGCTCGCAGGGCTGGTGGGGTGGGTAGAGAGTCCTGAATTCTCCTATTACTCCAGCTGCTCCCTTTTTGGCTCTGGTCTTCCTCTCACTTCCTGAAACTGGGATTCTCCTGGATTCTGGTTCTGACTGGCATCACTAGGTTCCCAGGCACTCACATGCTGGCCTTTAGCTCCCTCAGTGTGGCCATGCATCATAGCCCCACTGTGCCTGCTCAACTGTTGATCCTGCAGACCTCTGCTCAGGGACACTTACTTCAACAAGCCAACCCCACCTACCCCAGACTACTAGGTCTCACCCCCTCTGGTATGCTTAACATCCTGAACTTTTCCGTATTACATTGTCCTGGTTGGTATTTATGTGTGGGTGTTTGATGGATGTCTGTCACCCTCACCAGCCTGCAAGCTCTGTGCAGGTGGAGACCAGGTCCACTCTAAGCCATGTGTGCCGCGTCACCCTGCACCTCCAACCCCCCACTCCCAACCGTGGCTGCTGTGCTGGCCCATGGTAGCTGCTCAGTCAATATTTGTTGAACATCTCCCTCTCCCTCCCTCCCCTCCCTCCACCCCCTGCCTCTCTTCCAGGCAAACCATTTTATCTCTTTGTGTTCTTAAACACCTCTCTAGCAGTTTTCTCTTCTTGTCCTCACAGCTGCTCTTCCTACTAGGATTTCCTCCTCTCCCTCCTGCCCTTTTCCCACACAGCCTGTGTATGGCTGCAGATTTCCCTTCTACAGGCACATCCCTGGCCTACTGACACCCGGATCACCAAGCCTCAGCAGCCCCCTTTGCAGTTCTAGGCTCAGCCTTGTGCTCAAGGTCCTCCTGGGGCTGCCTCCAGCTTTTCTTCCCAATTCCGCCTGCCCGCTTCCCCTCATGCTCATTGCCTCCAGATGAACCAGTCCAAATCCCCCTCATCCTCAGGGTCCTGCTGTCCTGCCTCCCCCTCCAGCCATCTCCAACCCCTACAGCCAGGCACGCTCTGTCCCTTCTGTACTCACAGCTCTCCATCTGCATCTCTCCTCAGAACTGACTCACCCTACCCAGCATCTGGCTGTCTAAACTCAAATGTTTTCTTCCTGACTGGTGGGGAGCCTTGTAATGAGGCTGTGTCTGATTCATCTCTCAATTCCCAGGGCCTAAACACAGCAGACAGAATGGAGAAGTTCCCTGAGACAGTTGGCTAATCTAGTGTTTTCCAAAGCGGGTACTTTGGTACAGATATACTTTACTACTTAGAGTTTCCTGGTAAAAGTAATTTGGGAAACCCTGCACACTGTACCTTCCTCCTGCAAATTCATAGTGCACCTTCTGCAAATTCGTGAACACATGAAAGACTGAGAAGCTCTGAAGCTTAGAAACAAACAAAACTTGAAAAAACCTCATTTGAAACAGCACTAACTAATTTTCCTAATACACACACACAACTCCTCACTCTCTACCCAAGGAGATGAGGCTGGAGACATCATCAGGGGCCAGAGGTTGGGGGACCTTATGTATCTTACCGAAGAGCATAAACCTTCATTCTGAGGGGATTGGTGAGTGCTAAAAAAATATTCAAACAGGGAGTTCACATGATATCAGGTCTGTTAGAAAAAACATCCTGTAACTGCTTTGGAACCCACCAGACTGATAAAAAACTCTGTTATGCTTTGGGTATAAAATTTGAACTCATTTTAGAACCACATCCAGAAGATCTGGAAGACTCTTTTTGGATAATCTAAAGCAACTCTTTCATCCAGTAGATGCAAAGGCCCAGAGAGGTAAATTACTGGCTCAAACAGCAAGTTTTTCTAGAGCCAGAACCAGAACATGTGCCTTCTGACTCTTGGTTAGTGCACTTTCTGTTATTGGCTAAGACTGCAGAAGTTCAGAGAAGTTCTCAGCTGCCTCCTACGCTCTGCATGTGTATGACATATACACTCTCTTGGACACACTAACAGAGCAAAACATTGATGAACTGCTATGTTGTAGTAAAAGGTAAGTCTACATGTCTTATTTTCTAGATACCTGGGGATTAATCTGAAACTGGATTTATTTTGCCCCTGTTTAATATCTTCTAAGCTCTCTCCAAGTGTACTTATGAAGTGTCATCTAATAACTGTAAGTGGGCTTTCTCTGCTGAGAGAGCCTGGTATGGGGGTTAATTTACTGGCCCATGGGTCATGAGGTGGCTATGAGTCCAACACCACTACAGAGCTCTTCTCCCATTTGTGCTCATGCGTTGGACTTAACAGCCCTTGACTGACATTCTGAAATGATGTTCTCTGCGCCATGGCCTGTGGACACAGGCAGGGTGCCAGTCCGTAGCACAGCCACCCCTCTTGGGCCCATCTTTTCTCTCTCTGTCCCAGGAAAGCAGGGAACCAAGTTTAAACTTTGCCCTCAGTGCTGATCATTGCACCCAACCACACTATAAATAATTAAACAAATGGCTCCGTCTCTTCCAGGGTCCTAAGAGGTGGGTGTTAAAGAACTTTTTTCCCCAAATAAAAGCAAAATTCCAGACAGCTTATATTTTATATTTAGTGCTGGTTCTGATCTTAAAATTTTTGGATTCTTATCTGAAGAATGACTCCCTGGGGTCATTGGAGGCCAATGGCTGGCCACCTGCCTATGACTTGCCTTTGGGCCTCCCCTGCCGAGGCCTGGGCAACCCTGTCCTGTGGCTGAGCACTCATCATAAAATGGTCTGGGGCCCACTCGATGCCCCCAGGGGCCTTCTCTGAAAAAAAATCTGTGAGCCAAGAACAAGGAGATCTTTGTATCTCCAGAGAAACTGGCCTGTATTTTTCTCATGTACTGAAAAATGAGGAATATATAACCAATTTTTTCTGCTTTTACTTGGCCATCAGGAAACTCAGAGTCAAATATTAGCTCAGTTATATAATGAATGCATGAGATATTAAGGCCTGTTTACTTATGTTCCACCTTTCCCTTCTGTTCTATGCCTCCCAGAGAGGCATGGTTTAAAAACATTTTTCTTTTTAATATTTTATTATATCTTTAAACTGCTTCAAAACCTTTGCAGAACAAGGTGAAGGAATAATAATTAACCAAATAAACCACACAAAGTTAAGATGCCCTCTACTCCCCATCCATCAGCAAATCCTGTCGACCCCACCTTTTCCCTTCTCCACTGCCTGCACACTAGCTCAGGCTCCCATTCTCTCTCCTGGGGCTCTCCCTGATGCCCCCAACTGTTCTTGCCCACTTCCATTCTCACCTTCAGTCCTTTTGCCATAGAGAAGCCAGAGTAGTCTTCAAGTGTAAGTCTGATCATTTTTCATTATATGGCTCTCCTGTAGAAGTCAGGGTTCTGGCTTGCAAGCAACAGAAACTCACTCTGGTTTTCTTAGTAGCACACACACACACACACACACAGGAAAGGCATTGCAAAACCCCCAGAATCAACCACAACTGAGCACTGGGCCTGGACTATCTTTTAGCATCAAGAGTTAAGGTGGCTGCTGCTGTCACTGTGGTTGCTTTGGGAACCCATCACCACTGTAGGACTCCACCATGCCTGACAGAGGCACTACCATGGAGCTGCAAATGAGTTCTACCATCTCAGAGATTCCAGAATCAAATACCCATGGGGGAGGGTCCCATAAGCCCAGCCTGGGTCATGGTTTGTGCCCTGGCTGCTGGGGGCAGAGAATGCACATGGCCCCTCTGTCTCCCACAGAGTGAAGCTGGGCACACTTTCCAAGTAACAGTACACAAAATAGGGAATTCCAAATAGGAAGGCCGGGAAGGAGCTGGGCAGCCAAAATTGCAACATATATCTACCATCCTTGCTTATATCTCCATGGCATCCCATTGTACTTAGAACTGTAAAAATACAGATTCTTTATGAAGGTGTAGGAGAGCCTACCTGCTCTGGCCCAAGCCTACCTCTCCAGTCACAGTTCTCATTGCCCTGGCCTGCCTGCAGTCACAGTGGCCCTGCAGGTCTTTGCACACACACCAAGCTCTGTCCCTCCTCGGGGCCTCCGTACATGGAGCCCCTTTGTCGGGAATGCCCTCTCCCTTTGCCCATGGCTGGCTCTTTCCTATCCTTCACTTCTCAGGTTAATGCACCTCCTCAGAGGCCTTCCCTGACTCACCTGTCTCCTGTATTGTCTCTTGCATAACATTTATCACAAGTTGAAATTGCCTCATGTGTGCGTTTTCTTGTTTGTTTTTTTTGCCTGTCTCCCCATTAAACTGACCTCAAATTGCCTGCAGGTCTGTTTTCTGCTGAATTCCCATTGTGTGGCAGAGAACCTCGCACACTATAAGTTCTGAATAAATGCTTTAGGTGGAATGTGGTGTGCTCAATGGTGGGGTATGAGAATGAATGAGGAATGAGGAACAGGACCTGCCCCTCAAGGAGCAGTGAGAAGAGGGGGAATACAGACACTTACATGGGCCATATCAAAGTGCAGGACCCTCCCTGCTCTAAGAGATGGGAGGCAAGGGCTCAGCGATGCCAGCTCTGGCCATAATTAACCACAGGGTGCTGGCAGCTCCCTAGAGTTACCCCCAATCTAGGGTGGGAGAGTTACAGAAGGCTCCCACCCAGGGCTGGCTTCATGGGACAGTGAATCACACAGGTCTCCACATCCTGAAGGGCCCCATGCTTGGAGATGAATGCTCTGCAGTAGCTGTCTTAAAATCCTTAATAATTTTATCTTTGAATTTGCATTTTGTAAGTGAAGTCTAATGGGACAGTGGCACATGCCACAGGGACTTGGGGTCTTGGCTCATGCCGGATCCTGCCTCCCGCAGTCTCACTGCTCTCCTATGACCTCCAAGGTCTACTCTTCCACCCTCAGATGCTGAGCTTGTCCAGCCCCCTTCCTGCTCCCACCCAGTGATGGCTGCCACCTTCTGGCCCCAGAGAGGGCCTGGACAAGGCACGAGAAAGGTTTGGGTCAGGGGTGGGCATCCTGCAGGGTCTCATGGCAGGGCCTGGAGGTGGCCATCCCCATCCTGGGCTGACAAGCCCCACGATGCAATTTGGCAAATGACTGGGGTGGCTTGTGGGGAGAAGCCTCTTAGAGCCTAGCATGTCACTGCATGGAGGTTGTAATACCCTACAGGTTGGGGTGGTGAGCAGATGGGAACGGGAAATGTCTGACTCAATTTCCATGCCCCTGTCAGGTGTATGGTGCATTGGTCTGGTGGCTAGTGGGAGAAGGAAGCTGGTAGCCAGCAGCCACAGGCACACATACACATGCACACTGAATTTTGGGGCTCCTGGGTAACTGGGAGGGTCTGCATTCACCCTATGAAAATCCCTGGGCTGGTGAGAGTGTGACATTAAATAGCAACCAGAAAATATGCCAGGGCAAGAGAGAGACCACAGAAGAAAAATCTTTGTATTTTAATATATTTAAGGGCACTTTTCCTCACACTTTTTGAACAAGGAGCCCTGTGTTTTCATTTTGCACTAGGCCCAGCAAATTATGTAGTCAGCCCTGCTCCCACCCTTCCCTCCTCTTTGTGGCATCCCTTCACTGCCTCCCTCACTTCATAGCTCAGGGAGGAGACGGTGAATAGCAACAGCTTACATTTAGGGAGCACCTGCTATGGGCCAGGCAGCCTTATCAGTACTGACTTCTTCAATCTTCACAACAATCCTATCAGGTAAATATTATATGTCCATTTATAAGTGAGGAAACTGAGGGTGTTGAATGGAAAGAGCACTGGATTGAGAGTCTAGAAGCCAGAATGTTAATTTTAACTCCACCACTGACCAGCTGTGTGAACCGGAGCAAGTCTATAAACCAAAAATTGCCGACCTTGAGGTATACTAATCACATGAGAGTATGGGTGTGCACCTGCCTTATAAATTACACAAAAGACTCTCTTTATCATTATTTTAATGACCACCCAGCAACTGCATGTGGTCCACTGAGACCACCCGATAAAATCCCCTCATTTTCAAGAGGAGTAAACTGGCTCCATCCTGTGCTAAGTCATGTTCTCTAGGCTTCAGGGCCCACTGTGCCCTGGACCTGCCTCAGAGGGGAATAAAGGTAATAGAATTGAGGGCAGGAGTAAAGATGTGTTTGCAGAAGAAGTGCTGAGTATAGATCGTTGGTTGATGATGGTTCCATTTCTGTTTTAGGCAACAGGCCATTGGTGCTGAATTTTGGAAGTTGTACCTGACCTTCATTTCTTTTCAAATTTGACCAATTCAAGGGACTGATTGAAGACTTTAGTTCCATAGCAGATTTTCTCGTCATTTACATTGAAGAAGCACATGCATCAGGTACAGAGAGATCCCTTGCCTCGACCTCTTCCCTCCCTCTCATTTCTCCCGCTCACTTCCCCCAAGCACCATCTCAAGTTGGGAGTGGAGAAATTGGGGGAGGAGAGAGGGAAAGAGATGCTGAGCACAGAGATCCTACCATCTCCCAGTCCCTGCTGGGTTTACCCCCAGACTAACCAACAGTCTGTGCTGTCAACCAGGCATATAGAGCAGAAAACCTGCAGAGACAAGGTCTAGCTGGGAAAGCATCTAACATTTTGAATGGGTAAATAGGGAAATCAAGGGAGAGGAGCTGATACAAGCAGCAGGAATCTAGACCTGAGATGTCACAAATGAAGTGACTGCTATACAGCTGCTGGTGAAACCCATCAAGACTCTCCAAGCTCAAGGGGACATTGTGGTTCATCCAGGTCAGTGGTTCCCAGCTCTAGTGAACGCAGAAGCCCTTGGAGGGTTTGTTAAAACAAACTGCTGGCCCCCACCCCAGAATTTCTGAGTTAGGTCTGGGTGGGACCCAAGAATCTACATACTGAACAAGCTCTGGGTGCTGATGGTCTGGGGACCACACTTTGAGAACCGCGGCTCTAGGCCAGCTTTCACCTGGGCCAAGGATCCTTTCTTCAGCCCCTAATAGGTGATCACCCATCTTAATTATTCACAGGAAATCTTACTCCTCTGCTGGACAGATCTGTTTGGGAGGAAGTCCTTCCTTGCAATGGACAGACATGCCCCTTTCTGAAACTTCTACAGCTTGGCCTAAGCCCCTTGAAATTTACATAGTGATCAGACACACCGCATCTCCCTGATTTTCATGGAAATCAAAGTCATGAATTTGTCCCGACTCTCAAACCCAGAGATTGAGGAACGCTTGTCTGACCGAGTAGGAGTGTCATTTACTCAACACTCCCAACAAGATTCATCTCTGTCACCCACCACCTGGCAGAGTCCATGCCACAGAATCAGAGCCCAGGATGAGTATTTAGGCAATTGCTGGCTCATCCATGTGTTCTTAAGTGTAGAGATTGCCATTAATTAATTATCAGCAAAGTTGGCCCAGCAGTGCTTTCTCCATTGTGGGCCCTAATTTCTGTGTCACAGCCACCTGGGTTGCTTATTGAAAATGTATATTCCGGGGCCCACGCCAGGCCCATTGCTTCTTGATTTATATGTACCCAAAGGTTTGAGAACTCCTTTCAGTCTACTACTGTTTTCATTTAACTGGCAGCTTCTGTCCTCACTAAGATTTTGGGGCAACTTAAACTATTAGCACTTACTGGTCTAATTTTATGTATATTAAAAAATTTCCACAATATTTAAAACAAACAGCATAGGTTACAGGAAAGCAAATGCAAGTACAACACATCTCTTGTCAGGAGAGCAGCAGTGATCAAAGAAAAGAGAACTTGGGTAGCTGCAGGTGTCTGTGGTCTCCACGGCTGAGAAGAGACAATGCCTTGATGTCATCACAGCTGACAGCCAAAGCTGCTTTAACTGTCCTGCTGATTTTACTGTTCTGCTCTGCAGATGTCCCTCACCCCCAACCCAGCCCATTTAAATGTTTACTTTTAAATGGAAGGGGATTTTCAATTGGCCCACTTGCCAATTGAAATTATTGTTGCCCTTCTGCCTACTTATGGGAGGTGGTACTCATTGGTCAATGGGCCCACAAACTGCCACTGGCCTTGGCCCCCTTCTACTCACTCCATGTCTTAGGAACCTGGAAGGGGTAGCGCTTCTCACACTTTTAATATGCATGTAAATTAAATGTGCATCACCTGGGGGGCTCTTTCTAAGATGCAGAATTTGGCTCAGTAGGGCTGTGATGTGAGATTTTATGTTTCTAACCAGCTCACCTAGTGATGCTGAGGCTACTATTCAACAATATTTTATAAGTACCTGCTATGTGCCCAGCCCTGTACTGGGCCTAGGGATATTGAGAAAAAAGATAGGCACAGTTCCTGCCTCTGAGGAACTCACCGTTGGGGAGGCAGGTCTCTGTTCCTCTCTGGACTGCAAGTTCTCAGCTGCAGGATGGTGATGCAAACGCACACCTGGCCTCCTGTAGGGGGCCATGAAGCTCCAGTGAGCTAGTGGGTGGACTGACCACCTCAGTGTGATACAAATATAAGCTGGTATTGTCATCTACAAAGTTTTGATGTCTTGGGACAGGTAATAAATACTTTAAACTAGGCCAGGCATGTGTATCTTGGTGTGAATTTCTCCTGAGGGCTGGCTTTTCTTTGGGGAAGGGTACTGAGCAGAGGACTTTGAAGCTCTGAGGAGATAGAGCTGATTCTGCTGATACACTTAAGCAACTTATATTACCCTGGGAGACAAATTATTATAAACACAGGCCATGTGGCTTCTGAAGGAACCCATGACCACATCATCAGCGTTCCAGGTTCCCCAGAATAGGACAAGTAGAAGGGGGCCAAGGCCAGTGGCAGTTTGTGGTTATTTTTTCAACCTGTTGATCCATTAGCCAGTGAGTACCACCTCCTGTGAGTAGGCAGAAGGGCACCTTGGCAAATGGGGTCAATTGAAAATCCCTTTCCATTTAAAATTAAACATATTTAAATGGGTTTGGTTGGGGGTGAGGGGCATCTCCGGAGCAGAAGAGTAGGAAACCTGTGGTATGGAATGAAAATTGGGTTCTTTCCCATCTGCATGTTGTTTTGGATTGGTTCTATTAATCACATTTAACAACAGATGGAATAATTAGAATTTAGATTTAAAGAGTTTGCCCAATATCACACTAAGTGTGTCAGGGAAAGCTTCCTGGAGGAGATGGTGTTAAAGCAGTTGTTCTCAACTGAGGGTGATTTTGGCTTCTAGGGGAAATTTGGAAACATCTATTTGGAGTTGTCATAAATTAAGGAGGGGACAGTGCTACTGACATTTCATGACTAGAGGCCAGAGCTACTGTTCAACATGCTGTAACACACAGGATGGCTCCCTACAGAAAAAGAATTAGCTATCCCCAAATGTCACTAATGACAATATTGAGAAGTTCGGCATCAGAGTTGAGCCTTAAAGGACAAGTAGGAGTTCATTCTTGGAAGAGAGGCTGAGAAAGGGCAGAAGAGGTATCAATATCCCTGGAGGTGACATCTGCTCTTGCTGGATGTGGAAGGGCTTGCAGCAGTGTCAGGGAATGTAGGCTGTCAGCAGAGCTGACACATCCGCCTCAGTAGCAGAAGTTGTAGCACCCAAACCAAAGAAAGATGTTCCTGCTTGACTCACACCCCAGGTGTAGGCAGGCATTGTGGTGGAAAGGGTGATAGTGGGAGGCAGAGTGGGGCTGAGTGGGTCAAGGAATCCCAAGCTTTTCACCCACCTGGCTAAGCAAAAAGCTGGAGGGAGGCTAGAGGGATGGGCCAGTTCTCTGAGGGCCTGGTGGACTGCACCGGGGAGCTTAGGATTTGTCTTGAGGGAGAAAAAATCCGAGCAGGAGAGTGATATGGTCAGATTTGTGTTTTGGAAAGAACAGTCTGGTGGAGAATAATTAGAAGAGGAAAATGTTAGACTCTAGAGCAGTAGCTCTCACACTTTGGCATGTGTTTTATCTGGAAGGCTGTTAAAACAGATTTGGTCAGTCTAGTGTTGGGCCTAAGAGTTAGCATTACTAACAAACTCCCAAGTGATGTGACACTGCTGGTCTGGGCAGTGCATACTAGAGACCTGCTGCTGTAGACCTTTGCCTCTCAACATATGATCCAGGCACCAGCAGCCTTGGCATTCTGGGAGCTAGTTAGACTTGCAGTGCCATCCTAGACAGACTGAGTCAGAATCTTCCTTTAACAAGGTCCCTGAGTGATTCATAGCCACATTAAAGTTTGAGAAGCCCTAGCCTGTTGGACTCTTATACCTTGAAAAGCTGAGGTCTGGGAGGCAGGAGCCCTGGGCTTGAACCACTAATTCCCTATGTGATCTCATGTATCCACCCGTAATAGAAAGCCAGGCTAAATCAGGGCCAAGGGCTACTCTATCTGGGACCCTCAGTTAAAAGCAGGGATATTTAGTCTGCAGGAAGTGTGTGCCATGCCTGTGGGGCTTGCTGCCTGGCCTCTCTCTCGTAGATGGCTGGGCTTTTAAGAACAACGTGGACATCAGGACTCACCTGAATCTCCAGGACCGCCTGCGGGCAGCCCACCTGCTGCTGGCCAGGAGCCCCCAGTGCCCGGTGGTGGTAGACACCATGAAGAACCAGAGCAGCCAGCAATACGCAGCACTGCCTGAGAGGCTTTACGTGCTCCAGGAGGGCAGGATCCTCTACAAGGTGGTCCCCTGGGGCAGGGAGCCCAGCGGGGGAAATGGTAAAGAGAGGGCTTTGAAACAGGCAGAGTTGGATTCAAATCGCTGCCCAGCCATTTACCAGCCATGTGACCAAGGGCAGGTCCTTTCCTCTCTTGGAGTTTCAGTTTCCACTTCTGCAAAACAGAGATGTTGGACCCCACCTCCCAGGAGATGAAATAATGTGCAGGGAAGTCCCCAGAGTCTGGACTGCAGCTGCAGAACCTCCTGGCTGACCTCTGAACCCAAAAGACTGGCCCAGCCCTGGTTTAGTTTGTTGTTTCCATTTCTTAAGCAATGCTCAGAGGAGGAAACTGACTTGCCCATGGTCACACTGCACAAGGCTCTGATTTCAACTCTAAATCCTTTGGATAGGATGGGCTGGAGGGTCTCAAGTGGCAAATCTTTGAGGCAGGCCTTCATCTGGAGAGGAGTGCAGGAGGCCAGAAGAGGCCAAACCTTGCAGTTTGGAGCTGGAAATGTACAAGCAGGAATTTGAGGCAGAAATTGAGTCCAGGCCTCCTCTCTGGTGTTTGTGTCCTCCTGCGGGCTTCCAGCCTGGCCAGGGCAAGGGATACAAGCACAGTCTCTGACCCTTGGGGCTCTGTTGGCCTCCCTGAGAGGGCAGAAAGTAAGTGATAAAGCTGCTGAAGGGATTGCAAGCCTTAGAGAGCACAGGAAGCCCAACCATGTGGGTGCTCCTCTGCCCCAGAGTCAAGCTGATGCAGGTGAAACAAGCAACTGCTTGCAGAGGAATTTCAGGGTGCTAAGGGTCACAGCACAAGGATTCAGGTCCTTTGTCCTTTTCCCTGCTCTGAGCCATAGTTCTAAGATGGTATGGTCCTGGTAAGCTGGGTACGGAGCCCCTACCCTGGGTCAGGCCCTGTGCAAGTACTGGAAACACAAAAATAAATTTAACATAGCTCACACCTTACTTCAGGTGCTCACGTTCTGGGGGATAAGGCAGACACAAAGAGTGTTATAGTGTCCCAAGTACTGTGATACTCCAGAGCAGGGATCATTTGCTGATTTGTGGGATAAATGATCCCTGTTGCAATGACTCAGTTCTGCTGTCACAGCACCAAAACAGCATAGGCCATATGTAAACCAAAGAGTGTGAGGCTTCAGGACAGATTCGGCTCTCAGACTATAAAGTTTCTGACCCCTGGAGATGAGTAGGCTTTTCAGAGAAGTGACAACTGCTTGGGCCTTAAAGGATAGGAACCAGCCATCTGAGCAGAGTGAGTGAAAATCATAGCGAATATAGGGAAGAGGGTGGGCAAAGCACTGAGGCATGGTAAGGCAGGTGGGAATGGAGCACCAGGAGAACTTAGGTTACAAGGGTCTCATTATGCACCAAGGAGTTTGGCCTACATTTTTGGGCAAAGGAGAGCCACTGAAGAGTTTTGAGCAGGGGAAAGGCACAGTTAGATCCATATTTGAGAAAGATCACTGACTATTGGATGAAGAATGGGCTGGAGGCAGCAGGGACTAAGGACTGGGGATGGTCATAAGGTGGGGCTGCTGCCCAAGCAGGGGATGCAGAGGGCTGAACTAGAGCAGTGGGATTGGAGCAGGGGTGGTTCTAATGTAGAATTGGTAGAAGTTGATGTGAGGGTAAAGATAGTAAGGCCAGACTGAAGGTCTGATTATGGAAGAAAAGCTTATTCGTACTTTCTCCTTTTGAAAGTATTCACTTTCCACCTCCTCTGATTTTCCTCCTACTTTTCTGGCCAGTGTTCCCACTGAATGTTGGTGCCCTCCCCCTGGGCAATCTCATCCATGTCATGGTTGATTGCCATTGACTACACCCTGCTGACAGCTTCCACACAGATACTGCTAGCCCACATCTCTCAACTAAGTTCAGACCTGTGTATTCCTGGAATTTGGAAATCTGGGAATGCTGATTCATTTCTCTTGCAGGGTAAACCTGGCCCTTGGAACTACCATCCAGAGGAAGTTCGAGCTGTTCTGGAAAAGCTCCATGGTTAATCAGGACAGATCCTCCCACTCTAGATGACCAGTAGGAAATCTCAAGTCTTGACTCTCCCCCTAACCCAGCCGGCTTTTACCTCTTGACCTGCATCTGCAGCTGAATCACTGGCTCAGATTTTTCTGATCTAAGCAAACACTTGTTATAATCAGAAACTGAAGCAGCAAGTGAGCTGAGTGTTAAAGAATGTACAACTGCACACTGCCCCCACTGTGGGCAGCACGTTTGTTACACTATGTCTCAGGTGTGAGAGCATTGGGTGTACTTCTGAGGTTGGTATCTCTCCAGCCTCTCATACCAAGTGGTTAGATATGGCATCCCTTACATTAGGTCAATTCATTTTACCAAATTCGCCATTTATGGAATTGATAAGTTAAAACACAAGTGGTTTTTAGAACCAAACATGGGGAGAACTCCAGCTGTTTAGAGAGAGATGAGGAATTGAAAGCTGTCATTCAGTTTTGCAGAAGCTCCTATTTCATTCTGTTTCTCCAATTTCTTTGCAAGTCTCCTGATGGTCATTTGTGTTAGATTACATTAGACTAAATGGATAACCATTGGTATTCATTTGTTTTAACTCTGCTTCTTTTTATATTTGTTTATGATGGCCACAGCCCAAAGTACACACAGCTGTGACTTGATGTGAAAGAAAATATTTTAAGATGCAGCACACTAATACAGAATGATTAAAATATATCAGGTTACTTGGGATGGCTACAGTGTGATCTTTACATTTTCTTTTCTAATTTGTGTCAACCTGTGTTTACAGCCTAAAGTAATCTGAGCAGAGATAACACCATGTGTGGGAAGGGCCTCATTTAGTGGCAGAACATTCAGTCTCTATGTGCTACATGTTGAAGGTGGTTTTATCTTGTGAACTCTGCTGAAGAATTTTTCACATTGGAATCAAATTACCTTCATATATAAAAGAATGGATTTGCGAGATAATTTTCTAACATGAAAACAGGTTCTCCATGGCTCTGCCTAAGGTGCTACAAAGTTAATATTAACAATGTTGCTATTTTACTCTAAATAGAGTTATCATTAACCATCTACTAGGCATAGGCACTTTCAAGTATGTTATCTCATTTAATCGCTATCTATCTCAAAAAGGAGATTATTATCCTCTTTACAGATGTGAAAATTAAGGCTCAGAGGTAAGCAGTTTGTGGAAGGTCTCAGGACTAGTAGTAAGTCAAGATTCAAACCCCATCTCCAGCTTTAAGCCAGAGTCCTGACTCTGCTCCCTGCCAACTGTGTGACTTTGGTTAAGCTGCGTTGGTGTCTCGAACTATAATATGGATGTCACTGGTGCCTACTCCATAGAGGATTCATGAGTAAAGCACTCATAACTGTGCCTGACTTGAAAATGCCATGGAATTGCTGGCTATTGTTAACATTATTATTATTATTCCAGAACTACCTCCTTGGGCCCCCTTTTTAAGGAGTGGTGATGGAAAGAAGGCAGAACAGCAGAAACACTGAATAAAAAGATTTCACCCTGCCAAAGCAACTCACCAATTCTGGCATAAGTTTGTGAGGTTAGACTGAGAATGAGTATAATTCTCAGTATATGCCCAAGCTGGGAAAATGGTGGGACTAAGGCACAACTGAGCACTGTCCTTCCTAAGCACTAAGTTTTCAGGAGACGGTGGATAGGCCCACACTCCTCTGAATCACTTCTCAGATGGTCCCCCAGTTCATTTCTATAAATGCACAGAAACCTCCCAGTTTTCAATAAATAATAGTAGCCAGACTGAGTAGTTTTCAGAATGCTCAAATAGACCCAACTCAGTTCTCTGCAATTTAATGTTGCAGGTATTAATTGACCACTGATTCTTTTCTGGGTGCTCAGTGATGCAAAGATAGACAAGGTCCAGCTGTTGTCCTCCAGCAGCTTAACCTCCTGGGAAACAGAGAGACATGGCAGTGACCATAATTCAAGGTGGAATATGATGGGTAGAGGTGACTAAAACTAAACGCTCAGGGAGTGCAAAGGAAAGAGCAATTCCTCAGAGCTGGGTGGATCCTGGAAAGCTTTATGGAGGTGGTGGCGGCATTTGGGCTTGGTCTTCAAGGATGCCCAGTACTTCCCTAATTAGGGATGGGAACCTGGAGAACATGGAAAAGGACAAGGGTATTTAAGTGGAGAAAACTACATGTGCAAAGGAGGGAAAAAGGCCATGTGCAGGGGACTGTGAGAGGTTTGGACTCAGTTCTAACTCATCATGGGAGAAAGGACTCTTTTCTTTGAAGGTGACCTCTCTGGATCTGGATAACAAGAATGAACCATTCTTCTTAGCTAACATTGTAAAGTAATGGTAAGTGGAAGAAACTTGTTACTATGTCCTGCCCTGCTCTGAGAAGTTTGCATTCAGAACATCAATTGACTTGGTGGAAATACATCACAACATGTCTGTCTGCTTTCTATGGGAGGGGTTTTCTCCTAGTTCACTTGTTCTCTGAGAACAACGCCTTTTGTGGCACTGGCTTTCTGTGGGGGCTTTGGGCCTACATCCCATCCTGGCAGATGCAAGACATTGCCCTATGTGGCTGGCAAGAGGCCTAAAAAAACCAAAGCTCCAACTATCAGAAATTAGCAGAAGTTCCTGGAGCAGCCCAGGGACTTTAGTGCTTGTTCACCTCCCTAGAGTCGGATCATTCCTGTCCACAGACTGTTTCACTTCTGGTAAGCTCAGCCATGAATTTAAAAAAGTGTGTTAAGATAGTTTATCCAGCGTTGTTAGGTGTTCAGCTGAAGGATTCCAGGATACCTAATCTGCTGG